TCCAAGAATTTTTCCATCGGCCTGTCGAATCCCCGCCTATAGTTTAATGCGTCGCAACCCTCCTGTTGACTTTTCGAGAGTTCATTAGCCATCGACATATTTTTTCCACCACACACTTTCGCATCAACTGTCAGACCAATGCCGTGCCGCACTTTCCGTGGACCAGCTACCAAAATCGCGCCCTCTTTCATGGCATCCCTAACGAGTAGCATCATGCCATGAGGAACATACCATCTCTCAATTACAGAGAGATCACATCATCTCTTCGCCACAGGGAGATCACATTGGCAGAACAACGTTAGAGCTTCTAGCCAATCAGCTCCACCGTTCGACGCAATCCTTCTCACGTGTCCAGTTTGGCCACAAACCCAGCATGACAACCTTCCTCGTTTCCGGCGCTTTTTTAATTCTTTTTCTTGGTACCGACAAATAAACTGAATCTCATATGATTTATTTTTCAATTTCATTCAAGTTTTCTTTCTCCTCAGTAAAGGAGCTTTACTAACCACATCTTGCATACACCATTCTTACTACCATACTTTCAGAACAGGTTCATGTGCTCATATGTCGTCGAAGGAAGTGACAGGATGAGTCGGAGAGTTTTATCTTCATCTTCGGTTTGCACTCCAAGAGTTTCTAATTCAGAGACGATGCCATTAAGAACACTCAGATGATCTGACAGCTTTGTATTTTCCGCCATTTTCAACGTATGAAATTGCTCCTTCAAATATAACCTATTGGATATATTTTTGCCCTGGTACAATTCTTCCAATTTCTCCCACAACTTCTTTGTCGTGGACAATCCAAGCACATTAGCAAGAACATTTTTTGCTAGACACATGCGAATTTGACTTGCCGCTTTGATATCCACAGCTTCCTCCCAATTCTTCACGCTAATCTTGGAATTTTTCTGAGTCCCTCACTGCTACTGTTTTTCCTGAATTTTTCCGCTGACTGGTTTACACCTTCAAAAACATTATGCGTCTCCAATTGAATCAACACGTCTTTGACTGCACTTGCCACAAGTGCACAAACTTCATTCTCCCGCAAATTTCTCAATCTCACATCTCATAGCCACATGCTTACTGTCTTAAACAGTGAACCCAATAATTATGAAGTAACCGATTCGGCAATACCCAGGAAAGACACAATGATCTCCCCTAGCAATATTACCATTCCACGTAAAATCTCAGTTGACGGAGGTCACAAGTGGTCCATTAAAATCCGGTCCTTCTAGACAGAAAGTTACATGCACGGTATATTCATCAATAATAGAATATTCATATATTTTATCGTCAAGGACCATCTCACCACCGATATCAAGCACACAAAAGCAAAGCTCACCCGCTTTCACACCTGCTTTTAAAATAAAATAATTTCTAACAACAGTATTTCTGATGTGGAAGATCATACTAAGCCGCAACCACAGAGCATACTTATAATTACAAGAAATTATTTTAACACTAAAAGCTCCGCCTAACAACTTGGCTCTGATACCACTTGTCGGGAAAAATAGCGATTTTCCCAACAATGTACATATATAATTGTCATTTTTATACCATCCTAACGTGAAAATACCATGATTTTCTTTTTGCTCCCATTGCATTTTGTTTATTCGATTGTACCCTAAAATGAAATTTAAAGATTAATTGCACTCTATATTTAAAATTGGAAAAATAATATTATATTATTTTCATATTAAATAATCAATTTATCAATTTTAATATATATATATATATATAATTTTTTTTTTTTTTTTTCTGATTCTCTCACTCATTTACATTAATTTGGAATGTAAAAGTCTTGTGAAAACCAGTTTAGGATGATTATACTCACAAACTTTCCATTCCATGCTGTGAGTATTTTATTTTATAGTCATGCTATATTTACTATATTTAATTATATATAACAAAATACTACTAACTTGTAAAAATATTATTAAGTTGAAAATTATTAATTTTAAAAAGTAAATATATCTTATTACTAATAATCTAATTTGAAAAGGTAGAGATATTAGAGTAAACTAATAACCAATTTACATGTAAGAAAAGAAATGTTTTGGTAAACCTAGCCATAGCTAAATTGGATCATCAATCTACAAATCAAGAAAAAATTATTATTATGATATCTATAACGTATTCTTAATAAAATTTAATTTTTAGAATTTACATAATACTATTACTATATCCTTATTATTTGAAAAATAGATTATTTTATTTCTGATTTTGTGAACAGAATAGCTGTTCCATTTAAAATCTTTTTTTTTTAATTAATTTTTAATAAAATAATAAAAATAACCTTATTCCATTAACACTCAAATTCTCCCTGTTCTATCAATTCTTATATCATTTTTGCAACATACAAAAATTTCAGCCATCAAAATTTCACTTCAATCCTTCCTCAATGTAAAATATTAACCTTCTCTTATTATACATGGTATGTTCTTGAAAATTATATATAAGCACAAAAAATACATCAAGATATACAATATGATACAAGTATAACGTTTCTCTAATGTCTTACTCATCTATTCTTCCATACTTATTTCTTTTTTATTTCGACCAGCAAATCCTTTCATCGCTTGTTTGTTATGCCATTGTAAAGAGTAAACGAGCTCCATGAACTTTGTTTTATATTAGTTTAAAAAGTATTTGTAAATGAGGTTTAATAAGAGGATCTCTATTTATATATCATCCTTTAATATTTTTGAATTAATCCTTAATTTTGTTTTTTGAGCAATACGTTTTTTGAGAAAGAACTTATGCTCTCACTCTTACACGAATCATACTCATTCACATTGATGGAGTTAAAAATAAAATAAAATAAAATAATTCTTACAATTTCTTCAATAAATATATATAACAAAAAATATATATTTAAATTCATGTACTTATTAAGTTTTGACATTAAATCTCTAAACTTTTATTTGTCAATATTAAATTCTTGAATTTTTATTTTTGTTAAAAATAAACTGTTATTTAATTGAGGGTCGAGAAAAATAATAATCACGAGTGTTAAACGAGCAAGATTTTCTTATTTTTGTTTAAATTAATCCTAAACTTTTATTTTCCATATTAAGTCCCTAAATTTTTATTTTTGTTAAAATTAAGTCTTTATTTTTTAAACGAGACTTTCATATCTCACATTATTATGGGTTTATTTTTGTGGTTAATTATTTGGATTTATCATTTACTCTTAATCAATTTAAAGCTTAATCTTTATCAAAATAAAAGTTAAAGGGTTCAATTTCAAAAAATAAAATTTCAAGAGCTTAATAACAAAAGCTCAATAAATTAAGGGACTTAAATATGTAATTTTTCCATATATAATACTTATTAAGTAATATCCAAAATGGGATACTTACCAACAACTAAAATTTTAGATTTCTTACTTGAGTTTTCATGTTCAAATCTTAAGCAGAATGTTCAAAATGGGCTATTCCCACCTTTCAGGCATCTGCCAAATAAAATTAGCTTGTGATACTTCTTATTTTAGCATTAAATAATAATAATAATAATAATAATAATAACAATTATTCATTTAAAAATACTAAACTTTGGAAGCATGTTGACAAATGAAATATCACAATAGGTTAAACAAATTATGTGATAAAAAGATATGACAAGTTAGAACATATTATAAATGAGTTATGCACCAAAATTATTCACAACCTTCCAAAAATTTACCAAATGTATAACTAATTTTTATTTCATAATCATGCTACATTCGCTATATATGACTACTAACTTCAAAAATTATAATTGTGTTCAAAATGTTATTAATTTAAGAAAGTAATACATTTTGTTAATTAATAATCCAATTTAAAAAATTAGAGTAAACGATTAATACAGAAAATATATTATGTCTTTTGAAATAAGTAGTATGTCTTTTCCAAAATGTAATTCATTTAGATTTTTATTGTGTTATATTGATTAACTGTTTTTGAATCATATTTATATTTTCCGGTAATTCATTATTTTGAAAAGGTTTTATTGTATTAGTGTTTATGTATTTATTATAAAGTACTGTTCTAAAAAATTAAGTGTTATATAAGTTAAGAATATTATTGTAATTTATTATTTATTACATTTTTTTTATAAACATTACAATCTTACGTTTTTAAAAACAAATTTATACTCAAACACATAATAATTCAATATTTTTAAATATATTTTACTGCATTTATATATAATTCTGAAAAAAAAAATACTAATTTTCTCTTATATATAAGAAATGGACCAAATATTGACAACTTGATTAATAGGTCTTTTCGGCTATATTTTTCTTTTTTCATATTCGAAAATAAATTTCAAAACATTAAATTTTTATATTTTAATTTTTTCTTTTTGAAGTGTCGGGAGATTCATACCATTAAATTATGACTTAATGTGCTATTTTTTAAATATTTTTATAGTCCTATAAATTAAATTTTCTAATATTTTTAAACTAAATTTCAATATTATCAATATTTTCGGTACCATAACTAAACAATAGCAAATCAGTTGTAGGAAAATTATATTCCAAGGAAAACCACCTTTTTTTTCAGATGATATTTTTAAAATGCGAATGCAAGTCTTTATTTTTCGAAGAGAAAAAGGCCTCAAATCTCATAAAAATTACCTTTTCCTCTCCAAAATATTTAAGAAAATATAATAAAATACTTATTTAACACAATTTTTATGTATCATTTTTCCTTTTAAGTCTCTTATGTCAAAATAAATGCTCAGCACATGCAACATGTAAAACAATCTTTCTGGGACGAAAGGAGTTCCTTTCCTCTAGTTATAAGTTATAATCATCAACTATTAGAAGCAACATCAGACATTACTAACATGCTTCAGTTGCCTCCCAAAATGAAAGGTAAAAATAAATAAATAAACCCAAACAGTTAAACTTTTCCCCACAGGTTCACAAGCAGAGATTCACAAGTTTCTGTGTAATTTTCATACGATTTAAATAACGGAAAATCCAATATTTAAAAATTGTATCGAGAATGAATGGAAAAGTGAAAACAGGGCAAAAAGGATTATCAAAATCAATTTTCCAGATTGAGCAGAAAAAAACAAATTGGAAAATACAGAATTGACAGGTTACATATCCACTTGATCAATGATACTTCTATCAAAAAACTATCTGACTTTCAGTTTTCTGATTTCCTTTTGTAAGGGAATAGGACTACAATGAAAGCAACAAAGATTTTTCAATTTGCAAACCTTCCTTTCACTTTTACATGCATGCAAAAGAATTCGCAATCGTGCCTTCCCACAATTGATGCAGTCTCCAAACTATCCCCAACCTCATCGTATGTGCTATTTCGAAGTGTTAGCTTAGTAAATCACAGCCTTTGGCTAAAGTAAATATTCATAAAATATCTTGAAGGATTGAAGCCACTTAAAATCACTGCAAGAAGTTCAAAAGAAATCAAAGTTGTGGCGAGACTTGAGAAGCCAAAATGAAGACCAAAATAGAACTTGTTGCTTTTTTATACTTACAAATAGGAGAAAGGACAATAACAACACCAATTGGATACAGGAAAAAGGTTGTCCTCTCCAAAAATGGTAGAACTGAAAGATAAGACATGATAGCAGTAAATTAATTAGTAAACAGGCGATGATGTAGCTGTTTTTTACTGAGAAATTCACCAACTTGAGATTGAATGCACATCCAAAATTAATTGAACATGACTAGTGATAATCTGTCTCAAATATTCACCCTGATCAAGTTACTATACATAGTATAACCGAATCACTAAGCGAAAAATCAATGCTACTTTTTTGTATGAAACGATAGGTTCTATTTGCATATGAACAAGAGTATGCACATCATCTCACCAGAACTTTTGAATAAACATTTAGTTAATTGGAAAGCAAGGTTAGCACGATAGGACAAAAATTTAAAGGTAAGTGTTAAACAATCAATGCAAACAAAGTAAATGGCCATGCTTAACAAGCATTTTATGTCGTCTTAGTATACTGGTGTTATTCCACTTCCATAAACTTCGCTTCAAGTTTCTAAGACAGCACCTTGCTTTAAATCTTTGAGAAAATAAAATAAGTCATGACTGTCACATAAGAGGTTTGCATTTACAGGACCGGTTGGACCACTTTCTAAAGCAATCTAACACACAATCATACAGAGAACATGTGTAGGAATAAACCTCAAACCCGAAAACAAGGGCCAGTTCAGTCAAACTTTGGAACATTCAATTAGATGGATGGCCATTCATCGATGTTATTTCTTTACAAACAATCCCTAAACATTTTGCACAAAAGTAATCTCATTCTGGATCCTAGTAGAAAAATAGTTCAGGAAAGCCAAAAAATCAAATATGAAGATAAGCTTAAAAGGATTCACCTAACACATTAAATTTATTTTTACTATCGCCAAGATATTTCTCATTTTATTCAAAAATTACTTACCATCATAACCTAAAAAGTTGAGATAATGGTAGTATGAGGCTGCCACCATGAAAAGCAGATTTGACAGCAATACAGGTATGAAACCATGGGCTACCAAAAGTGGGGACAGAAAATAATGCACAACTGCAACAAAATCAAGACATAGTTAACATTCTGGTAGAAAGACCTGAGGATTGAAAAATTACAGAAGTAGCAATTACCGTAAAGCATAACAAACATTGGGAAGAAAGAATTGCAGTGCACGTCAAATGCATAAAGCCTTCAACCAAAGAGGAGAAGGAAACAAAAGAGAGGAAGTCAGAAATTTTAAATACTGAACCTCTTAGCAACTTGCAAAAAGTTGTAAGCATATACAAACAAGTTTTCCCATGCTCATCGTTACTGAAAACATATTTCCAAAGTAGTGGGAATCAAAAAGTTTCTGCACTTGCCATTCAACTCGTTGCTCAACCACATGGCTATTTGGAGCCTCCTCCTTAAGGTATGCATTAGTCAGGAACCTGAACGGAATTGACAAATGGAACAACAATCATGCCAGCATGCTGAAACAAATGATATACAAGGTCTAACCAAATATGCAAATTAAGGAATTCAAGAAATGAAATTTTAATTTTGAATCCTACAAAAAAGAGGCAAAATTATATATCTTAAATTCTACTTATTAGGGATGAGAAAACCCGGAATTGCATTCTGTAATTAGCATTGGAATCTCAGAAAAGTCCAGACACCACTAAGGCAATTAATTCACATCCAGATTGTGAAACAATTTGGAAAACTAGAGACAACAATTGAAAGTAATTCACTAATTCTAACGTATTTACCTAAATTCCAATTTATCAATTAATCCTGTTTGAGTGAAACTTCCGCTGATAAGTGGAATGCCAAAATTTGACCGTCAACTTTCATTGTAGTTTCAATTATGTCCTTGTTTAAGATGTTTCAATTTCAACCTCCTAGTTTGACATTAGACAATAGATGTTTCAATTTCTCTCTCATAGTTTCCATTTTATTCTTCATTTGTTTGCATTTATGGAAGGAATAAAGGCCAATCCGGTCCCTGAACTTGTTTAGCATGATCAAAAAGGTCAAATTTGACCTTTTGGACCAATTTAGCCCTTGAACTTGTATAAAATAATTAAAAAGATCCAATTTTACTTTTTAACCCAATTTAACCCCTCAAAAGTTTGATCCGAGTGTTCTTAGTGTAAGACAAAAAAGGATAAAAAATCAATCATATTAAATTAAATCAATTATTAATTTATAAAAATCAAAACAGGCTCAAGGGTTAAATTGGCCTAAAAAGTGAAATCGGTCTTTTTAATCATTTTGTACAAATTTCAAGAGCTAAATTGGCCCAAAAGGTCAAATCTGACCTTTTTTACCGTGCTAAACAAGTTCAGGGATCAAATTGACCTTTATTCCTTTATGGAAGCATATAATTGATGTCAAATAAAAACAGAGCACACAAAAAAACTTGAAAGTGATTGGAAGTAGAAGAGACAAGATTTTGAAATGCAGATTTTGCTTATTGAAACTGCTAACTTTATAACCAATACATGAGCATTTAAGATGGTGACACAATCCATTGTTGTTGGCATTCAAAATTATATTTAGTAGGAAGGGTGGTGGCTCACCAACAACATGTAGCCAGAACTGCTCCAGTAACTAAAAAATGGAAAAGTAATACAGAAACAACTACAAAAACAGCATGTGCAGCACTATGGTCATACCTGAAATAAAAAGAAGAGATTAAGAAGATGAGATTTTGTAAAGCGGGGAACAACAAAACTCATGGATAAGACAGTAGAAAAGAGAAATCTCTAACAGTAAAATAAAAGATAGATAATCCCAAAAGAAAATGATTGTAAACTTGCTTAATTTGGAAGTTAGACATAAGAAAATAACTGTTGACTCGGCCCTGCCACAATAATCTCATTAGCAGGCTTTCTCTACAAGCTGTCAGAATGGTTTCAAATCCTATAATTGGCTCCATCATTTACCAGCAACTGGTAAAAGGTGGGCAACGAAGTACCTGGTGTTTACTCAAATAACCCAAGAGCATGCTGTAGGCCATTGTTTCTCAATATCATCATCTAAAAGACTAAATAAAATAAAATGAAAAGCTTGCAGCATTGCCTGCTGATGCACGTGCAAAGTTGCTTTGCAAAAGTTAGATATCAAAACTCCAATACATAGCATTGTGCAATCATGCATACACATAATAACCACTTCAAATTCATCATAGAATAAAGCCCCTAACAAGAGTTCCCGAAAGGATTTCTCGCAGAAACCAGGCAATAACTTAGTATCACTTATTAATTACTGATATCATAACAGCAGTTCATCACATTTTCTAGTACTCACAGGAAGGAAGAAAGCAACTTACGCCGCACAATAAGCCAGAGTGGCAACTGCCAATAAGAGACTGCAGATTACAACAAAAGCTGGATCATCACGTGCCCATTGATTCTTAGTTTCTGCACCAAAAGGGAAGGCAACATTTCAAATTTTTATCCTATTTACTAGTAGCAAAAGTTGCCAATGTTACCTCAAACAAGAGGAAGAAAAAATTACCAGAAACATCCTCAAACAGAAAATTCATTCAACAATTGCATGAATGGCAAAAAAATTAACTAAGAACATGAACTTTTTTTCTTCTACCTATGCACATTTGGGATATGTAATTGCCACCAACATTAATGCTATTGCAACATACTTGTGTAATTTCCACCAACATTAACCTTGTGGGAATATTAACACAATACATATACACTAGAACTGACAAGAACAAGAATAACTGATACTACTGTTTCCTACAATTTTCTTCCTAAACTTACCAAATAGGCTTATTTGCTTATAATCTGAAAACTTACACTACTTCTGAAGAGGAGAAATCAATACCTCACACTTATTATTGGAACACCAGATATCATCCTTATTATTGGAAGGCTAGATACAGTGCAGAGAAAATTTAATGTACAGTTACTTTATTTCAATCTTACTTTGCTTAATGACACAATCCATTTTATGAGAACAAATGCTATTTTCCAGCTATTTTTATTTCAAAACCCATAGAAGTGGACTTTTATTTTTACCTTTTAAGTTTATTTTCCTTTGTACTATTGTTTGTACATATACCAAAAAAGAAAAAGCTATTAAGCATCTCGTCAATGAGAATGTACAGTAAAGGTTTTAAAGGGTTACTTGAAAACTTATCACACTAGTACTAGTAGATTCATTCATCTTATATGGTAACCAACCTTCTAATAATTTCTGTTCTCACAACGATTTCCTGTATATTTCAACAATATCATTGAATTTCTGTATGTTCAGCTGAACTTCATATTTCATTGTCTTAGGACACATAAAATAAAATATAACACTTAGAGAAACACTTGACAAGGACAACTTCCAAGAACGACAAGAAAAATTTCAGGAATTTTTGCACAACTGCAAAGCTAACAATTCAAGCTGTGGATCCTCTAAAAGAAGTGAAGGATATAATCATAGAACAGAAGAATCATAGTTACCAGCAAGAAAGATATTCACTTGACACATCAGCTTGTTATCCTAAAAAAGCAATCATATGACATAGACTGAGAACAAGCCATGATGATTAAGCATATTTCAAAAAACTTCCTGTAACCCTCCATTCCATTCATCCTTTCCCCTTCCACTTTTTCTCTCTCAAATTCTCTTCAATTTTCCAAGAAAAATCAACAAACTGAGAGAAAATGCAGTAGAAAGAGAGTGAGAGAAAAATTGAGGGCAATGAATAGAGTGGAGAGGTAGTAAATTAGGCCATTATAGTATCCGGCCAAATGCACCTATTGAACAAATTTTTCCGTTCAAACACTTGATTGTAAAAACAAAAAAACAAAAAATTAAGCACTAAAAAATTGGAAAAGAATCAGACGCCAACAGCAAAATTATCCCTTAAAACAATACTGAACAGCATCTAATTATTTGGTTCTACTGCATATGGAGGTTGCTGTAAATTTGAAATATATTTTTCTCGTCTCTAACACAAAATCATAGTATACTATTATGATAGCCTACGAATTAAATCATAATGGTAAAAAATTTTCTAAAAAAAGAGCGTAAAGTTTTGCTGGAAAACAAAATACAAGTAATCACGTAGTGTAGCCCCATAAATAGTTCTTTTCCAGATCCCCTACAAAAAATAAAATAAGGTTCTTCAATGGGATAATCAACTTACGTTTATGATATTTAGTGTGCTGATAGCTGCCACATCATCCAGAAACACATGCAAAATCCAAAATTACTTGATTAGAAATTTTCCAACTAGTGAACCAATAGGAAGCTTATACACACACAAGACTGTATCAGCTTATAGATAAGTTTTCCACATTGTAAACAACAACACCATTTAATCATGCTGCTTATAATTCTTTCACTAAACATAAATAGGTTAAGGCTTTACCCAGGGCCTCGGAAACATAGGAAGGGGTGAATGACTAAATGCACTTGAGAAGATTCTGAATTTTGAACTCACAAATCAGAAAAGACAGTTTCCGCTGAACTGTGAAATTTTTTGAAGCAAAGAAAAATAACTTTCAACAGTAAAAAATAGCCTTTTGCAGCAATCCAAAATCACCATTATAATTATCTTTAAGAAAAAAAATATTACGTTGAGAATACTTTGGTCTCCAGTAATACTGGAAAATAGACATGACCAAAGAATGAGCAATAAAATGATAGCTTGAAAAGCAAGGAAAATGTAAGGCAGCATCCATTAGTTGTTCTTCCTCCTGGAAGGTTAGTCTCTAAAGATACATACAAAAATAGAATGATGACTTGGATTAATGACCTAAGAAACATATGTATCATTTGCAACCACTGTTTATGGTCAATTGTCTATTAACCTAGTTCAATATTGTGTCAACTACAGCCAGGTCAAAAGTGTCAATTTATTGAATACCAAATTGAGATTTTTTTTTTTAAAAATGATTTTTTTAGAAAGAACAGACAGAATTCTATCTTCTCCCTCCACTGTATGTAGCTCTCTTCCCATATAATATGCATAAAATATAAGTTCATTTTCCCCAACCATGCATAATCCATTATTGGTGTCAGCGTTTGGGATGTTTTGAATTTTGAAAACATCTTCCATAGAGTATCATAACTTATACAATGACAATGGAATATGTATATCAACTGATACTTGAAATATATTTTTGGATTTTTTTTTTTTATTTATTTAGCTCTAATAACAAAAGAAAACGCATAAAAAAGATGATCATGAACTACACCCTAAAACCAATCATGGCGAAAGTGAAGAGAGACAGAAATAAGAAGGAATCTTACACAACTTTTGGTGAGGTGCAAAGGTGAAGCATTTGCCAGAAAGTATATTCAATATCCATTTGTTGCCACTACAATGAACAATGAGCCAAAACAATTAATATAAAATAAAATAACTGTTAAGTACAAAATCAATAGATTAATTTACAATACTGATGCTCATAAACTCATGCAAGAGAGGCCAAAAGCAAAATTGCTATATATACACACAACCACATTCATCAATAATTATTACCAAATTGCAGTAAGCTTTGATAAAAACGTTTAACTACTAATCAATTCCCATTGCCAATTGTGATCCGGACACGGCGAATTTCACAATTTCATGATTTAAGGTTGCAGAGGCTAATTCAACATTTGCAAGCAATGGGTGAGAAATTTTGAAATATTATTAACTATTGGATCCAACTGAGATGAGAAGTTAAAAGTAGAATGGAAATCAGATCTTGAGAGAAGAGATGCAGACCTTGACAATTCGACGGAGGTACTGAGGAAACATGGAGTTAGGTCGAGAACTAGAAAAGGATGTACGGGCTTTCGACGACGTTGGCAACATCTCTCTTCCTTTTCTTTGTTAAGCAGCTATGCTGTTCTTTCTTCTTCTTCTTCGTCTTCTTCTTCTCCTCCGCCTACTTCGATTTCAGGGAAGGCGGGCAGATACCTGATCGACGATCTGAGGAGAAACTTTTTCGTTTCTATTGAGATGGTAAAACGACGACAACGACGACGAGTCGACGATTTGGTGTTAATCCTTCTCCCCTCTCCTCTCCAGGGTCCAGACTCCAAAATGACTACCTGATGGGGCAATTTTGGGCCAATTGTTCGGCCCAGCTATTAGTAAGAACTAGGAGACACCCCTGTGGATTGGATCTGAAAAAAATAATAGTAGCAACTTAAATCCTGCTTTGAAGTTATTTTCTAATTAATTAATAATAATACTTCAAAATTACGATATTTATTTATATTTAAAATAAATTGATCTATGTTTTGATATGTATCACCGGTGTTTGGTTGACATGTTAAATTGCCAAACCTTAGTGCCGCCTTCTGTTCTTAATCTTGAGTCTTAAAAATAGATTCTGAAGGTAAAAAGATTAATATTTAAAATAAATTTCAATTTCAAACGTGTTATGGTTAATTAATAATTAAGGTTTCCATTTGTATTTTTTAAACCTAAAATTTTCTGATAATTTTAAAATGATGGATTATTATTTTTGAATGAAACAAATAAAATTATTACACTGAAGTAATAGTTTCTTGAACGGAAATATTGGGAATTTGAAACTTTTTTTTTTAAACTATTTAAAATTTTGTAATTCCATTACTTGGTGTAATTTAATTGGTATATTGTCATCTATTTTGGTCTAAGACACTTTATTTGTTATTAATTTTAGAAAATTAAAATTAGGATATGGTCATGTTTAAATATTTATATTAAACAAGACATATATTATGTTAACTTAATACTGTATAATATCCTTATTGCAAGTGAAAATTTTATTCTATTAACACTAAATAGTAATTTATGAAAACTTTCAAATTCATTAGTTATCATGTGAAAAAATATTTGGTTTTTTTTTAAAAAAAAAGAGATTTTATATAATTTGAAATTAATAAAAACATTATAAAATATAATTATTGATCAAGGTTGTGACAATAAGGCTATTTTAGGTATAGTGAGTGTCAATATTTAAATTATTAAAAATTAAATAATTAAATAAGTATATTACAATATCATGTATTTCAAAAAATATATATATCATGCATTTAAAACCACAAACCAATAACATATGACTACTGTGCAATATCAAGTCACCAGCCACTCCCAGAACGGAAAAGCGTCCCAAATATTGTAGTACTACAATAGTACGCAACCGTACTACCGAAGAAAAGAGTGTAATAAAAAGTAACTTTTGAAAAAAAAATCTGAATTTGTTTTCCTGCTTTAAGGCTCTATTTTTTGCTGTACAGTCCTTTTTTTTCACCAGGAAAAAAAAAAAATTATGAAAAAGGTTCCGTTTTATAGTTAATCTCATGTTAATAACGTTTAACAGCTAACTATATATCCTTTTCAACACCCGCCATGTAATTCCTCACTTCCTTTCTTATCATCTCTTGCATAACCGTCAAAAACTCCGGCTTAAACGTCATCGTTTTCTCAATACATTTTATTGGTAACTCCTGGGAATCGGATTCTCGCCGACTCAGTAACTCTCCATAGAAGCCTTTTCCTGGCAGTGATAATGTCAGCTCCGTCGAAAGATCGTCGTCGTTTGATGTCTCACTTTCTCGAGGCGGTGTTGATTCAACCTGATACGAGAGTGGCGTTGTCATAACGCCAGCTCTCCGATGAAACAGGTTTTGTTCCTGGTTGTGATGTGAAGACGATGACGTCACTGGCAAACCCACATCGCTGACGTCAGATCCAGAAGGAGAAGGACTATTGCAAAAAGACGTTATTTTAGCAAATTTTCTCGCTGGCGGTTGAAGTCGATCGGTCGTTCCATCTTCTGACATCGCCGCCGAGTATTTCCTCTTCAAAGTAGAGTTCCAATGGTTCTTGATCGCGTTATCCGTACGGCCGTTGAGGAGGCGAGCAATGGTGGCCCACTTGTTGCCTTGTTTAGCATGTGCGTTAATAATGATCTCGTCTTCTTCAGGCGTAAAAGGTCGGTGCTCTACCTCCGGAGACAACTGATTGCACCACCTTAAACGGCAAGACTTTCCGGATCGACCAGGAATCGATTTGGAAATCAACGACCAGTTTCGCGCTCCGTGTCGTTGAACGAATTTCTGCAACAGTTGGTCCTCTTCAGGACTCCACGGGCCCTTGACCCGATCTATGATAGACTGTTGGTCCATTGATACGAGAAAAAGAATACAGAGACAGAGAGAGGCGGTGATGGACATATAGAGAGAACGGTTATACTAGGAGAGTGCTTATAAAGGAGAGGGTTAGGGTAACTGATGGAGCCGGTTAACTGATACGTGTAATAAGCGTTACATAAACTGGTATTTCCCGGTTACCAGTAGGAGATTATACAGCTGTATAACTGGTTTGGATTGCTAGAGAATCTGAAAACTAAAATCTCGGCAAAATTGGGAATTTGAAAGGTTTCTCTCGTCACAGTTTCCTTAGGAGACTGTTAATTACAGTTATGGAAGTTGCTGAAATGGAAAGGGGGTTAACAACGGGAAAATATCGCGAGAAAATGAGCGGATGTTGGCGGTTAAGATAAGTTTGACTGAGAGACAGGCTGGATAGCATTTTGATTTTTTTTTTTTTTTGTTGGTTTCTGGATTTTGTTTGTTTTTGGTAACAGAGTCATTTGAGGTACACGGAATTGATGACGTGGAAAAAACGACAACGGAGAAATGCGGATTTGGAGTAAGGGGATGATTACTGACAATCTGGCAGGCAGTACAGGCTGTGAACCTGCCACATCAATGCGACATGTTAACGGCCCTTTGTGAGGTCACCGACACGAAGCGGTCACCGACTCAACCGAATGTTTTGTTTTTTGAACTTCAAACAACTGAATCTAAATTGTCCACTGCAGTTGGGTCTACCGCCATTGTTTCAAGCAAAAAGGAAAAAGGAATTGTCATCCCTTTGGTTTAAACATACCGATAATCATATGCTCCCAACATACCTAGCCCAACTCAGTAAAAAACTTAACCTGTAAATTAATTGTAAATTAAATTAAACTTAACCTGTAAATTAAACTTTACCAGATCATGTTTTCAAAATAAGATTCATTTTGTTAATTATTCTAATAAATAAATTAAATTGGATAAAGTTGGCTATTTTTTAATTAAATTTGGCCAAATAGAATAATTATCAATGGATTTTAAGTTAAAACGAATTTTGATCAACACGCTCGTTCTATCAATTTTCAAATTTGTAGGTTGAATCGGGCAGATCGGATTTTATGTCCATACTTACAACATGCTTATAGGTTAGTATATAGTAATGAAAACACAATTTTCAAATTTGTAGGTTGAATCGGACAGATCGGATTTTATATCCATACTTACAATATGCTTATAGGTTAGAATATAGTAATGAAAACATAATCAAGAAGACATATAATCATTCAGACACCATGGGAATGCAAAGGAACAATCTAGGATGTTTCGTATATAAATCAATTATTAGTGTTTTTGTATGAACACTAATTAGTACTTTCCCCAATGCATTGCACATGTTAACAATACGTGCTACAAATTGTAAAGAGAAGAATCAAGAAAATATACACATATAATAGCAAGTTGCAATTAGGTTTAGATGCTTTGGCAATCAAATTTTAGTGACCTTTGAAACTTGCACAACCAGGCTTCCTAAATAGGGGACAAACACATTCTAGCACAGCAAGCCAAATCTTTTTAAATTATAAAACAAGAAGTTAGGTATATATATGATCATTTCAAAATAGCAAAAACATATATATATATATATACACACGTGGTAAAGAAAGATCGTGGATGTTTCATTTCAGTGCTTAATAGATTAATTAAATGTTTTTTTTTATTATTTTTCTGATGTAGGTTTGGTATATAATAGCCAAAGCTTGCTTTTCCTAGGCAGTCACACATGATCTTGATCCAATTGAAATTGTTAATATATAGTATAGATCCAGTAGTTAAAAATGATGATTCCACTGCATTTGGCCATTTGATGACTTGGAAAGCTGCTAGAATTTTGTATTCTCTTTTCATCATAAATTAAAATGTCTGAATTTTAAATATTTAAATATTAATATTTTATGAATAATCAATGTGAATTTTCTTCACACATTGTTCAGAATGCAGAAGAAAAAGAAAGAAACGGTAGGGATAAGAAAGTAATTTAATAGGTAAAACTCATAGTTTTAGGCTTGTAAAGAGTTGAAGGAATTGGACGCGTGCACATAAGATTAGACCAAAATTCAATTTAAGCGTACATGGGTGAATTTTTCCTCTAATGCACTAAAATTTTTATTCCCCTGTTATGATTTTAATTATAATTTTTTTAATAAATACTCTTTCTGTTACATTTTATTTGCATGGTTTGACAAAACACAAATATTAATAATTTAGTCAATAAAAGCTATTTTGCGCTTCTTTACACTTAATAACTCATTAAGATACTAAAAAGTCCATCATTTTATGAACAATTACAAAGGTTATTATAGGCAAAATAATTATTTACATGTTTAAATTTAGAAACCTTGCAAATATTTTGGAACATCCAAAAAAATAATAACAAGCAAACAAAATAAGACAGAGGGAGTATAAGCTTATTTGGAAGTGGTTTTATTTGATGAAATAAAGTTCAACTTATCCCCTGAATTTGGAGACAACATACAATTTGCCTAAAAATTAACTTTTCATACAATTTTGCCTCTTTAACTTACACCAAAAAAACAAAATGCTCAATTTTTGTCCAAAAAATAAATTATTTGATATAAATCAAATATGACTAGAAGTAATTAAAAACAATTACTCCAATTCAACTCATTTTTCTTTTTAAATGTTCATAAATATATTTTCTCTGTATAACCTTTGTTTGCTCCCCTTTTTCCTCCGTATAATGTTGCAATTTTTGGCTCTATATATATATATATATATTGTGGATTTACTTGAAATGACATGCTCTTCTCTTTCTTTGTTCTGCTAGTAAGTTTTTCCACTTCTGAAGGGAAAGAAGAAGAACATGTGTGGCTTGCTGATTCACGAACTGCTAATGTCTAAAACAAAGAGAAAATTCGTCTCAAACTCACATGATTTCGCAAGACCTTGGCTCTTAATTAAATGTTTCATGTGCCAATTTGAGAGAAAAAAAAAAATTAATTTATGAGTCTTTCTTAGGAAAAGCTAGGGTTTAAGTATCCTTTGAACTTGATAAGTTTGTATTGACAAAAAAATAATATTTATGGGCAAAAACTATTATAGTTACAGATTATTTACACGTAATGTCTCTAAAGTTATAAATGATAATGCATTGTCTTTTAACTTAGTGAATGATAATGCATCTTTTTTAACTTACTTAGAACATATTCGATAATACTAGCTGTTTTAATACCTGTTAGCGATTTTAACAGCAGTTAGATATTAGCTGTTAGTTATTTATATAACTGTTTAAAGTAAAAGTGTTTTGTAAAAATAGTTGTTTGATTAGCTGTTAAATTTAAAATGACAAAGAAGAATATTTAAATTTTGAGTTATAATTAACTTATGATTATAGAAGTTAACTCATTGTAAAAAAGAGATAATTTATATAATATGTTATTATTTTTCTATCAAAAGAATGTCAATTTATAGTGTGTAGTCCAACTATATAAATTGAAATCATTATCATTACTAAAATGATAATATAATTTCCTTACATATTCCTCTATTAATTCATTATATGGATTTTTTTTAAAAATTCGTGTGTAAAATAATGTAATTTTTTAACTTAATTGCAGACTTGCAGTACCACAGCAACCATTGGAAAAAAAGACTTTAAACTAATGTTAATATAAATTAACTAAGGATAATATAAATTAATAAAGACAAAATAGTCAAAAAAATTTCAATCAAAAAATGGAAACACTAAACGTTAGATGGATGACTGTTTTAATAAACGTGATCATATATCTTATCCACTAACAATTATTTTATACACTTATCGAACCACATAATTTACAAAAATAGTTGATATATTCAAAATTTTAAACACTCTCTCAAATGTTGTTGACGAACATAATAGTTTAAAACCAACAATAACTAAAGATGGTAAAAAAAAAAAGCATGACCTTTAATGATGATTTTTTTGGAAATATATATATATAGCAAATATTTTTTTCCCAAGAAGTTGACATATGACATTTCTTAAATGAATCATCTTCCCTTGCTCTTGCCACATAAAATTCTTGATGATGACACATGGGATTATAATATCCTATATGACTCTTAAATTTTATAGTATCATATAGAATTTAATTATTAATTATAGTGTTATATAAATATTGATATCAATTACCATTCAATTATCATAATTATTACTAATATTATAATTATTATAAAATTGTAACTTATTTTTTTCAATTAAAATTACATAATATTGGTCTTAATAGTCATTCAATTATTATATCAATAAGTATTAAATAATTAAAATTATTATAATATTATAATCTATTTTTTATAATTAAAAATTATCATAATTTTGATGTTTTATCATATTAAATGTATCATAATTTATCTTTAAATTAATGAATATTATATATTAATTATTGAATATCATCTATAATCAATCATAATTATCATTATTATTATATATGGAAATTTTATATTAAAAGAATGATTAAAGAAGGTTAATGATGAAAATATATTAATTAGTTTTATTAACAATGAATAAATCCAAAATGTTCAATATTTATTTTATCTTAAAATGCAAGATACAGTGGTCTTTATTAGTTTTAATGAATAATATATTTGAATTGCCATTAATACTTATTACTAGAGCTATAAACAGAGAGAGCTATTTGAAGTTTGGTAAGATCCATTTTTTTTTTTGTAATTCAATAATTTTTATACAATTATTCTTCCACATAATATATATATATATATATAATATAATATATATTTTCTTCTAATTCTAGTAATTTGGTCCAAATTAGAAAAAGTTTGATTAAATTATAAGAAAAAACGGTTTATATGAAAATTCATTCATAAGAATGATATTTATACGTTTTTATTGATTGGAATTTCTATTGGGTCCATTTTATTTTATTTATTTTATTTTATTTTAATGCTTCTCAAAATTATTAATTTAAAAATTAAATTAAAATCAATATTTTTAATATATATTTCATTTTCTTTCAATTTTATTATAGACATTTTAATTTTTATATAATTCGTCTAATAAATTAAAATCAATAATTTTTAATATATATTTCATTTTCTTTCAATTTTATTATAGACATTAATTTTTATATAATTCGTCTAATGTTTTATATTTGAAATAAATGTTTTTTAATTTAAATAATTTTCATCAAAATTAACAAATATGAAATTAAAAAGAATTTAAATTATAATGTTTTTTTAATTAAATTATATATTTCAAAATATTATCACAATATCTCTAAAATTATAGATAAAGATGTTTATTATGCATAATACAGACATACTGCTAGTTAAGATATATTTATTTCAATATAAAAACGAGGCATTTGACAATTTTTTTTATATAAAATTGAAGTAGAAAATCAATTTTATAGAAAATCAATTTTATGGGAAAATGAAAAATGTTAGATCATACAGTGGCGGTGAATATATTTTGTTTTAATTACTTTTGTAAAAAGGAATAAATAACTCATGAAAATTACTCTTTATTCACCAAAATATAATAAGTTTTTAATTACCTAAATTAAAAAAGCAAATCGAAAAATAAATGTAACTTTGTGTTTTCTAAATCCATAACAAGTTCGTCTCCCTTTTTCTTATCCTACGCTACAGCAGAGGTTCGAAGAAAACCAAATTGAAATTCTTTGTTGCTCACAATTCAAGAAATTTTTTGAAATTAAATTAGGGTTTTGGTAAAAATGTCGACGGGCAGGCCCAAGGATAGTGACTTACAGGTAGTGGTAACGCCGGACAAGCATGTTTCGGGACTCCCGCCGCGTCCACCTGCGGCGGGAACGGCGTCAACTGCGCTTGTGGAGTACTCGGCGCCGGTGTTTAAGGAAGAGGAGGAGGACCTGGAGGTGAAGCTCCGGCGGATCATCGAAAATGTACCTGTTCGAGTCAGTAACACATCTGGCAGTTCTGCAGGTTCCGGCTCCGGTGACTTTCACCAGGTATTTATGGGTTTAATTCTCCTAAAACCTTAGACTGAAAGTGTATGCTTTATTTATTTATTTTTTTTCAGAAATTTGTCATTCTGAGCGTTTTATTGGTTTACACCTTTAGAGCTTGACAGATAATAATAGAGTTGATTGCTGTACTGAGTTTTAATTTCTCACATTCCGTTACATACTATTTTGTATTCATGATTTGGCAATTGATTCGACAAAGGTTTTGGACTTAATAGGATTAGGAAAAAAAATTATCATAAATTGGGACTGCATTAAGCTAGAGGACTAGCTGGGTAGGGACAGATTGTTCCTTCTGATTTGCTTGCTGGTTTATGGTGGCTTCCAATTTGGAAAATGATTTTGATGGTGGGAGCTGAAGGAGAGCTAGAACCTGCTGGATATGGAATCTCATCTAGTATGCAAAAATTGTAATGAATTGGAGGCTAGAATCAACTCGAATGCGGAATCTCATCTGGCATACAAGTATGTGAACTTCTTTGTTTTGGCATGTGTGGGAATATGACATTTGCTTGACTATAACATGCTGTAAAAGTCTCTATTCAGTTATGCTGAACCATAAGCCCCATTTCATTGCAACATAACTTTTGATTCTATATACTACGATGTGTATTAGTTGTGGAGGAAACCTTTAGGCTAGGTCTTTTATGTGGCTCATAATCAGTTATTGTTGAAGAATGTCAATGTGAAGTAAATATATATTATCAATTAGGGTTTTCCAGAAGTTGCAATAGAGTCAGTAACTCTAATGGAGTAAGAGCATTCAGTTAAGGGAAGAGAAATAAGTCGAAAGCTGCATATTATGAGATAATAGATAATTGTGATATATGACCTTATCGTTCTTTGTCCCTGTTCAAGAATTTTTACTGTCTGATAATAGCATTTTATCTATCCATTCTGTGTTCATGGAATGCAGGTTGTTGCTTGCATTCTTATCTATTTGATGCGAGGATAAAACTGATAGGAATCCGATAAAACTCCTATATTTTCATTTCATTAATAAATTTTGATACTCTAACACTGCTTTCAACTCTATTCGACATGGGAAAATTCTTCTTTCTATTGTGTAATGTGTTATATTGAGAGGGAGATGGGGGAATACATAGATGAAGTATCAAGGATATCATCTCCTTTTAGAACCAGATGGAACATTAGCTGTTTTTAAACTAAGGATCTGAAGAATAATCTAGGGAGGTATTTTTCCCATATTATTTCTGAGGTGCAGTCTCAGTAGTTAGGAATTTTTTTTGCCCTTGTTTTTTGATTTGTCCATAGAGGCCTGTATAACATATTAATAAAGGAAGAGCTAACTGTGAGGGTTGTAGGGTATGGTATGTAGGCATTTGAATCTCCAGCGCTTGTGGATAATGAGTAACCCTTGTGTGCCTTATCCTATACACTTTAAATTTTTGTAACTTTTTATATGTTCTGTTTCTAATTTGGGAGTGGCTTTGGAGATTGGATTTTATTCATGCAAATGCCTTTACTTCATCAATTTGGTATTGACTCTGTTTCATAACATCAGTCCCGAAAGGGTCATTTTTCTTCAAGAGAGGTTTTGGGTGTTTCTGCACCTTTGAGCTAGTGTCAGTTTGTGCAGGTGTGTGCATGTGTCTATGGAATGCAGTGGAACTTAAATCTATATATATATATATATATTTGAAAAAACAATTAATGATTCATGTAATTTTCTTAAATGATTTTATTCATTTGAGAAAAAAAAGCTGGTTACTTTTGTTATAATGCCCAAAACTAAGTGAACTGGCTTCAAAGCCCCTGCAACAGGTGATAAAGAAACAATAAGCTGCTCGAAATCTAAATAAGCAACAGTTTTACCCAATTTATCATCTCCTAAATTGTTTCTGTTTCATTTATGATGAACTCCAGCTTAGGACAAATCAAGCATTGATTAGCCTATGAGCATATATTGCCATCCCATGTAGCATCCGTATAGGGTGCAAACTGTTAATATTGAGTAATTTGTGGTATGCTGCTTATGAATTTTGCATTTCAAAATCTCCATGTGCATATTTTTGTGCCCTAGATTTGGTGCAAAACTAGATTTTGTGGTGATGATATCGGGGCATGGAAGGAATTTTTTCTAGTTTTACTAATTAATCGGTTTACCTCTGACTCTTTCTTGAAAGGATCAAAACATAACTTGTATATTCTCCTAGGACGGATCAAATGCCTCCCAGCTAATTGCGTCTTCTTAACAATTTACACTCATTGCTTTCTATTTGATATTCAAGCAGTTCAAATAAATTAATGGCATTCTTTTCTTCACATGCTTGTTTCATATAAAATATAAAACAATTACATACTGTTCATTGACTTAGATGTGAAGATGTGGTTGCTTATGATTAGTCCACAAAGCTGGAAAACGAGTTAGTGTATATAGATATGTGTACAGATATAGGTCTCCAACTTGTATTCTTATGAATTTGGAATGGAACAGTATCGGCAAATGAGACGGAAAGAGCAAGACCGGCTAGCAAGGATGGATGCTGACTACCAGAAAAGAAAAGAACTGGCAGAATTCAGTATGAGAAGGGAGGAAAGGTTAAAAGCTGCTGAGGAACGGACAGCAAAGAAGCGTTTAAAGCGCCAAAAGAAAAAGCAGAAGAAAAAAGAGAAGAAGGTGAAATTGAATGCTGGTGGAGAAGAACATCAGAAAGAAGAATCTTCAGATGATGATGGAGACTCTGACACTGGTGAACCTGCTGCCAAGTGACCAAGGTTTTCTGTAAGTCTTAATCGAACCTTTGCTTCAAGGTGCAATTTCTGCCATTCTTCTAGGCATTTACAGGAAACTATGGGGAATTAACTCAATTAGACTTCAAGCATTTGTACTCTAGTTTCGGATGACAGAAAGGAACCCAGTTGAAAGTGGGAAAGAAACAGTACAATTTTATTTGAAAAAAAAAAAAATGCTGTCTTTCACAGAATGAAATTCTTGTCTTGTGAAGACTATCGGCTTCGATCACACTCCCATAATAGTTGATGATTCAGGATGGATCTTGGAAGATGTGATGTTAAAACATCATGATGCTATAAAACATACCCATTTCTTCTCTCTTCCTCATTTGGTCAAGGAAGGTGGTAATTGATATTTCGCATTTGAGTACAACATCTCCTTTTCCGTTAGAGGAGTATATGTTACTTTACAGTTTCTATCATTAGCCAAGCCAAGGGTTGCAACTTCCAATAAGGTACTATGTTTAAGTTACGAAAACAAGTTAATGTAGCTGGATAGGATGTTGATGGTGGTTGACTGCATGTTCGAATGTCACTGACCTCTCACCTAATTTAATACTATTAATGTTTAATTCTCTAAGTATCATTTCAAATTTTAATGGATTGTTCTGCATCTGAATGATTCTATAGATGTAACCTTTGGTGGCCACTTCAAATTTTTATTATATATTTTGCATGAAATGAAATTTGATACTTGTAGTTTATACATATTACATGAGGCTCCTTAAATCTGGTTGATAATTTAAGTGAGAGAGGGTATTTAAGAAAGCCAAGGGCTCTCCTTCGTTGGGAGGAATTTCATCTGCGGTAGTTGTTGAATCTTCTACTGGCACATTAATTTTTTTAATAATATTTTTGCTAAAACTTAAAAAATCCATCAACCGTTATTTTTTGTGCAGGTAAATCCCTCCGTTGAAATTGATTGCAGATCAGATCAAGCTCATTCATAAATTTCTCTCTATCTCCATCTCGTTAAGAAAGTAAAAAGCCTATTTCCTCCTTGTCCTAGTCATCTGCCCATCTACCCATGCAATGCACGGAGCTTGTAATTTTATAGTTTTTGAAATTGATTTGAATGAGTAATTTTTAAGATAGTTATTATGATATATATTTGTGTTACTTTTATTTATAAATTTTGATTAAATGTTAAAATGTGAAATTATACACTCCTTTTAAAATTATCAAGTAATGAACATTACATTTTTCTAATTCAATTGCTATAATTTTTTTTTCACTTGAAATTCTTATATATGCAATTGAAATGCTTATTAATTTTTTATAATTCAATAAGATATAAGAAGGTTTAATTGTAATGCAATAAATATTACTGAATTGAAATTATATTTTAATTCTGTTTTTAACCTTTTTTGTTATTATTTAATAAAAAACTTTTTTATAGAAATTTAATATGCTCATTAAAAGCAAAAACAAACAAAAAAAAATTTATAATAAAAAAAAAGATAAAATTTGTCATATTCACATTTCCATATTCTAATATTTCGCCGTATTAGTATTCATACTTTAAAAGATATATATTTATTTATTTATTTTGGAAGGGTTTGCAGTAGAATTTAGAATAAAATATTTAGATACCGATTTTATATTATCTTTGATAATATAAATTTCGGGTTACTCCGAAATGAAATTGAAAAGTTTTAAAAACTCTTATCCTTTTGTTTTTAAATAAAATTTAAAACTCATTCTAATTTTAGAGCAGTTAATTAATCTTCACCTACTAATCTTATTACAATTTATATATGAAAATAGAATGCAATAAATAAGCCAAAATTTTTAAAAAACAAAAAAAAAAAAGCCAAAATGTGCTAAAATAAACTAATTCGTCTTTAACATTTTGTTTTTCTCGTAAAAAATCTGCACAACGCCAACGAATCCTTGGGCTGATTCCATGTCAGGCCAGCCCAATTCATTCTCGTAGTCGTTGTCTCCTCTCAACTTCTCCGTTGCGAGCCATTTCAGCATTTTCCCAGCCAAATTAAACCACTTTCCTCTGCTATCTTTTTGTATTCTCTTCTTCTCCCTCCTTATACTCTCTTTCTACAACCTTTGGTAAAAACGAAGAAAAGGAAAAAAAAAAAAAAAAAAAAAATCTTCTTTCTCCCTCCTTATACTCTCTTTCTACAAACCTTTGGTAAAACGAAGAAAAAGGAAAAAAAAAAAAAAAAAAAAAAATCCTGAAATTCGATCTTGATGGGAGAAAAAAAAAAAAAAAAAAAAAAATCCTAAATTCGATCTTGATGGGAGAATCCATTCCTCCTCGTCGCATATGCGTTCATCAAGTTCTTGGTGGCGGCCAAGGTGTTCCCTCTTCTCCATCGAACCATAATTTATAATTTCTCCCGATTCCTTTCATTTAATTTGGATCTAATCTTCTAGTGTGTTTTTGATTGTTCTTTTAATTTTGTGAATTTCACTTTAATCTTCTTTTTGTAAATAGCGGCTGATGTGCTTCTATGGAAGAGGTGGTGTGCAAGTATTACCATTCTAGTGACTGCTACGACCATTTGGATGCTATTTGAGCGAGCTGGTTACAATCTCTTGTCTTTTGTGGCTAATGTTTTATTCCTTCTTGTTGCCATTCTCTTCTGTTGGGCCAAATCTGCTTCTCTCCTTAACAGGTTCTTTTTTTGCAATTTTCAGTCTTTTTATTGAAAAAGAAAGCAGCAACCCTGTACAAGATATGGGGTGATTTTCTTTTTCTTTTTTTTTTCTTGAAAAAAAATTATATTTTTTCTGTGTAATTTTCATTTTCTAAGATGGAAATGACTTGGTGTCATGCTTCAGGCCACTGCCTCCTTTACCTGACCTGGAAATATCTGAGGAGACTATTGTCAAGGCTGCTGGTGTGGTTCAAGTGTATGCTAATGTTGTATTGTCTATTGCACGCGAGATTGCAATTGGCAGAAATTTGAAATTGTTCCTTCAGGTTGGGACTACATTGCCCTCAAATTGAACTTTTTGTTGCAAGATTTTGTGTTGGTTCAAGCCAGTAGATGTTTTAATATATGATCTACACCTTATTCTTCAGGTAGCTTTTGGGCTGTGGATAGCATCATATATTGGTAGTCTTTGCAATTTACTCACTCTTGTCTACATTGGTGAGCTCTTTACTGCACATTGTTTCTCATAATTGCTGTGTGATAAAGGCTAAAGGGGTTTAATAACATTTTCTTGTATTTTTTTCTTTTCTGGAGGGGTTCTCCTTAGCTTTTCTGTCCCTGTACTTTATGACAAATACCAGCACCACATTGATGAAAAGCTCTTGGTAACGCACAGAATGATTCAAACACAGTATAGAAAACTTGATGATTCCCTTCTAAAGAAGATCCAACTGCCATCAAACAAGGACAAGAAAGTTCACTAGGTGAGTCTCTTTTTTTATTCCCTTTTCTCTTTTACAATTTGCACTGGACCTCTGCAAGTTTATGTTTTCTATTTAAACATCATATTTGGTGACATAGATTACCATTTCAGTGGGGAAAAGGCTGTTGTTTGTTTTTTCTATAAATTGTAGTATTTCTCATTTAGACCGCCATCAGTGCTTTCGTTACAGCACTCAGAGTTATGAAAATCCACCACTGGGAAGAGAAGCAATTTTATCATTTTCTTTTGATTGTTTTCCTGCAAGCCTTGTGGTGAGAAGTAATTTTATAGACCTTATGATCTGTCTTTCCAAATCATTACATTTCTTGTGTGCCATATCGAACATAAATCAACTGCCCCTTTTTTTATTAGATTTGCTAAATGTTAAAATTAGATAGGTATAACCCAAAGTTCTGATCCTTTTCTGTTTTAATTTATGCCCCTATATCTATTACTGTCAAGCACTCTTGAAGGCTTTTGGCTTTAAATTTATTACCTTGTACATTAAATACTCTGAATAAAATCATATGCTTGTTAGAAGCTTGAATCTCATTTCATGTTTATAAGCTGGAAATAATGCTTTTGCATAAAATTGCTTGGGGAAACTTAGTACATTATTCACATCTCAGTGAACTTGGTTATGCACACAAACATTGAGAATGACTAAGGTACCTGATCACATGTTTATGATGATATTTCCAAAGAGGTTACCTGAGTTGTAACCTTTGATTCGCCGATAATATGACATCCGAGCAGGAGTTCAGTCATATATTCAACTCACTCAGTATGGTTTATCAAACTTTAACAAATATGTCTGGATGTACATTTTTAATACCATTGTGTTGACTAGTGTACTGTCCTTTTGATTTATAATGTATGCGTTACACATTGTTTTTTCAACTAGTTTTACACAATACTGCTTTGCATTCTTATTGACATGATTCTTCTACATTTGTTTTGCATCATTGGCACACATTATAATATTTATTGCCATTACCTAAATCAAGAGAGCTACAATGCCTTAATGATCACTAATAAAAATCCTAGTATCTGGATTATATTTTTGTTTTAACCTGTTTGTCTTACCAACATCAAAGTCGCTACTAGAGTTGTCTTATTGAGTGACAGAGATTTGCTTTTTCCCCCTCTTTTATTGTTTCTTGGGTGTTACTGAAGCCCATAACACTCTTTTTGATACAGGATTCTGAGGAATTGACAAAAATGTGACTAAGGATGTGGAGATCGGTTGTCAACATAGGACGTTCAGGTTTTAATCTACTGGGATTCTAAGTATTACTATCAAATATCAGTTACTCAATAGTAAATCTTTAGGAGCAGGACTGACCTAACTAGCCTCTACAAGTGGGAGAATATTCAATTTTCATTGTTTTATCTGGGTTGCCTTTGCTGTGATGATCTTCTGTCAGAAGTAGTTTTGTTCCCTTTTGGCAAATAACACAACTAAGAAAATATGATACTTGTGTACTGATTATATGTTACCGTTTCTGCTTGTTTTGAAAAATCATGATGCTTTCCATCTCGTGAATGCTCTGGATGACATTTATCGCCTTTTTTTTTATACATTTTATTTTAAGTTTATGCACACAAATGAAGAATACCATAATGTATTGGGTATTCAAAATGATATCAAGCGTTGTGTAACTTTTTGTTTTAGATATTTCATCCTCAGCAGTGTTTAAGCATTCTTCTACTGCTATTGTATTTTTTATTTTCAATTATAAACATGAAAATATGAACATATGTGCATGTTTCTTAGTATTGTTCTAAAAGCCAAAAAGCCTTGCAATTTTCAGTCTAAAAATAATTTCCATTGACATATTAGGATGTGAAATTACAAATATTCTAACAAAACTTCATTATAGCATTGATGTCATTTTGTATCAAACGTCGTTTCGAGTTTTGCAAAACCCAAGGCAAACCAGACGCGTGACCATCCTAAAAGGTAAAAACAGAGTTAAGATTTTATGACAAAACAACTACTCATAAGCAACGGACTAACTACAGTCAAATGACTGTCTGTTAATAACACAAGACATCTCAGGCTTCAATTCCATAATAACACTGGCACTCACCTTAAGACAAAGGAGAAGATAACACGACCTAACAGATCGAGACTTTGCCAGTTAGCAGTTAGTATCTTAAAAGAGAGGCACAGAAGACCTCTCAACCCATCTTTAGTCAACAAGTTGGCTCATATAAAACAGTGACTAACATCGTAGACAGCCTCTCCAATAACAAATGTACTTGTCATCTGTACATCGAGTGCTTACCTTAACAATTTACAATCCCAATCCCTTAATAATTTTGATGTAATACCAGACAGACAGACAGACAGAGAGAGAGAGATTGCTACATTGGCAGCAGTGACTCTGCTACGCTCTTCAATGTTACTCTATTGCTCCACTAATATACTTCATACTTCAATCAGCAGTCAAATCACACAAAGATATAATCTTTGGGTTACAACCATTTCATCCTGGTTTCTACATACAGCTTTATATCATTTAGATTTTTTTTTTCTAATTTCTAAATTGCCTTCAAGATAGTACTAAAAATTAAAAAAGCACAATCTCAATACTGGGTGCAGCTACAATGCAAAATTTGTATATTCTTCTATGGCTCCGGGGAAAAAACCAATCATGCAAATGACCAGAGACAAGATATAAGGAATTCCTCATAGATTTAATCACATTGGTTTTTAGCATATATGCTCTTCAGACACATTTATTCAGGTTAAGTGATGACAAATAGAAGCAGGAACTAAACAAGATACAACACGGCATGATAGTGTGAATATCTATTAACAAACTAGTTAATAAAATACCAACATACAAAACAATCTCCATGTATTGGATAGCTACAATTAGAGCAAGTAGAACACTTATAAAACATACAACATCTAAAGTATGTCTACATATTTAATTTCTATTGGAAAAATTAGAATTGATCATAGCAATGCTGGTAATTTGTACATATTTCTGAAGAATTCCAGTATCACAAGTGACTTGTGACAAAATGATTTAATGCCAATGCAGGAGCTGTCATTGATTGTGATGCAAATCCAAAGGAAATCACAAACTTTTAGATGGATGAGAGCAAAACTGCCAGATTTCATTGTCTATTTGTGTGTGTGTGTGTGCGAGCGTGTGTGTAAAGTTGAACACTTGAAGAACAAACAAGGTTCTGAGGAGTTACCAACCAGCCAGAGGATATACACGAGTTTTTATCATTTGGATCAATTAAGCTATATCTGTTTTCCTTGTAAGTTTAGTTCACTTCCCTACACATTCTATACATACAGTGGATTGATATAACGTATACAGCAGCTAGTAACCAAAATTGGAAGACCACTTAGTCATGATAGAATTAATTCATAACAAACACAGTCACAATTGAACACTTCACAACTTCACAATTTTCACTCTCTTGACTCCGAACAAAGCTTAAAAACACAAGCCACAAGGATTTCACTTATAGAAGCCAACAACCTAGATAATTTGGAAACTCAACTTCAACAAACTTGCAATGAAAATTCGCAATCAAAATTGCAGACTGCAGATTTCACAATCAAAATTGCAGACTGCAGATTTCACAATCTTGCAACTTTCTCTAAACTTGATTCAACTTCATATCAAAACAACCATTCCACAAATTCAAACTATGATTTTTTAATTGCTTGCTAGTTGCAACTAATAAAAAACTACCAAAAAGAGAATCAAAGTCAAAGTTACAACAGCTCTCAACATCCCGATTGCAAAGAAACAAGTTAGTCAAATTGCAAAATCCATAAAGAAACACCTGATACTGAAATTCATTATCACTACCCAGATTAAAATTTTACAAAATTCTACATCAACCATTGCATTTTCAAATCCAAATGTCAGATATAACCATTAATTTTCTTACAACAATTCAAAAACCACCAAAATTGGGTTTTCAAAAGGAGAATACACTTACATTCTCTATTGCCCACCACTTTCATCCTCAAGCTTCTTCACATAGGCCTTAAGCACCATTATGACATCCCTAGCAGGAGCCTGTAAAGTACTTACCAATCCCATCGCAGGACTTTGCAATGCCCCCAACATCTTAGCATAAATTTCAGCTCTAGAAGGCATTGTTTCCAACTGCTTAAAATCTCCAGGCCCATAAAACTTCCCTTCAAAAACAGCCCCAGTAAAGTCGTTATCTTCCAATTTCTTCTCCTTTTGGAAATTCCTATAAGGCTTAATTGCCTCTGGTATTTCCTCAGTATGCACAAAAAGCCATGCATTCATTCCTTTCATACAAGGCTTTAGAGCCTCCCATTGGGTACCTTCGATGGCTTTATAGACCAAAGTATTCTTGGCTACAATAAGTTTTGAGGACTCTGGCAATGATCTCCTCAATTCTTGAAATTGTTTAACAGTAAAGCCTGTATATTTAATGGCAGCCAAGAGATAGCAATTCTCTAACTGAGTTTTCACTGTTTCTACAGTTTCTTCTTTCTTGGTACGAGAAATGGCAGAATTGATTGAGATGGGTCTGTAGGAAGTGGGTTTATGGAGAGGTTTTGAAAAAGAAAATGGGTTTGTGGAGCGAAATTGGATTAGGGTTTGAGAAGGTGAAGGCTTGGAGGAAGGGAATGAGAAGAGTGTGGTTTCCATGGTGGTGGTGATGGAGGGAGATAGAGAGTCTGTGGGGCTTTTCGGCCTTCTTAGGCTTATCTTATCATTATTTTTGTTTTGGGGCATTTCATATTTGCCTTTGCCTTCTGTAAGATGAAGAAGTTCGTAACTGAGAAACTATTAGAAACTTTAATCAATTTATTTTATCAGTAATTTTTGTAATTAAAAATTTAACCAATAATTCTTCTCAAAAAAAAAAACCCAATAATTTAGGCCCTGTTTATTGCAATTGTTTATTTTCAATTTTTACTTATTAAAAACATAAAGTTATTTTAGTTTTTAGTTATTTATTTTTCAAACTGTTTTTTTCTTTCCTTTCTATTGGTTCATGATTTGAAAAAATTCTTCCAATTATCAAATCTCTCCCTTATTAAGTCATTAAAGATTTTAGTTAATAATAAAAAATATAAAATATAAAGCAAAATAATAAAAATATTTCACACTTTAATTTTTAAATTCAAAGTTAAATTAACTATTAATTATTATGTATACAATCAATTAAATAAAAAATATAATATCCAAGTGTTATAATAAATAAATAATACTAGATAACATTAGATTTATATGAATAGAGAAAATAATAATAATAATAATACAACTTTATAAAGACAAGTCTTATAAAAAATTAAAAAAGAAAGAAGGAATATTGAATAAAAACAGAAAGCACAATTACTGAAACTATTATTTATGATTTCATAAATTTATTTTTTTTAAGAAATAATTTTCTAAAAAATATAAAATAAATTAAATAAATTTAAACAAAAAACAGAAAGCACAGTATTTACTGAAACTATTATTATGATCTTCATAAATTTATTTTTTTTAAAGAAATAATTTTTTCAAAAAATATAAAAATAAATTAAATAAATTTTAAACCAATAAATTAAATAAATTTAAACAAACAAATTTTATTTATTTTTTAAGAAAAAAAATAAAACATTTAATCCCAATTTTAGCCCGGGTTGATAGATACCTACTTCCGCCGTCCTAATGAACCAAATATTCCCAAATTTAAATGAAGTGGGACGGATATAAAATACATATAACTGAATAGATGTCAGAAGTTAAATTTTAATATTAACAAAATATCAGAGAACTTTTAAAAATTAAAAGAATATAATTTTTGGTGAAAAGTAAAACAATAAACCTGAAATAACCTAAACAATTCAAGCCATACTCAAAACTACACACAAACGGGCCACCCAAATCTCCTTCAATCAAGAAAAACTAAAATAAATGGCAACTATAAAACGACATTGAAAGCAAAAGTTTTAACCGCCATTTTCGAGTAACTATAAAATGAAATCCGTGCTAGTTTCGTTTCCATGATCAAATAAACAAATAGCCGAAAAATTAAGTTTTTCAATTCAACGATAAATACAATATATGGCAATATATACTAATAATATATAGTAATATTATATAAACTGAAAATAATATAGTAGTCGTATATACAAATAAGCAATCATATGTATAGCTTTAATACATATGTACTAACTACTTGTGTGATCAATAAACTTATCATATTGTGGTGTTTCAAGGAGTATAAAAATGTTTTGTTCTGTTTACAGCTTCGTACATAACCAAATAATTAGTATTTAATTAATAGTTTTAAGAATTAATATAAAGTGAAATTTAAGAAAAAGTATAATCACATTACTCAATAATTATTTATTTAGATAAATTAATATTTTTTTAAATGAAATGAAAATTCAAATATGATAAATATGACAGTATCAGAAATAAAACAGTTATATATAATTATATATATAGTATATATATATATATATATATATATAAATAAAGAGAAACTCTAGAAAATTCATACAATAATCGACAAAATAACACACCTAAAATCTAAAAATTTACAGAAATTTAGAATTGCAGCCAACACCAACGGAAAATAAGACAAGAATTCGTAAAATATTGGGGCTAAATATAGTAAAATCGACATTAATAGAAAATATGTCAGAAACAATCAGGTAATTAGCGTATTTTATAGAATGGAATTAAAAAAAAAAAAAATCAAATCAACTGTAAAATAGCTCAAGAATATCAAAATCTTAACGGAATCAAATATACTGTAAACAAAATCAAACACAACAAAAAAATGGTGAAGAATGAAATGAAATTGACCAAAAAAAAAGAAAGAAATTGATTGTAAAATACAAAAATTTTATAGACGAACAGAAAGAAAAAGAAGAAACGAAAATAAAATGGCGAAGCAATTCGCTGCAATCAAAGCTCGCTTTTCTGGTGAAGCGATCATCGCAATCAAGCTCGCTTTTTTGATGAAGCAATTGCCTGCGACAACGACTCTCACACTAGTCCTGCAGCCGGAGGCAGAGTTCATGCTTGCAGTTGGAACTTTGAAATGAAAGAAAGTGACAATGTAAAAGAGAGTGACTCTAAATCTGAAAAATTCAAATAAAAGGGTAATCAGGTAAATCACGAATAAAAGTATTACTATTTTAATAATTTCAGTCAACATTACAATTTTTAAACTGAAGTTTTAAAATTTGACATATACTACAATTTCCCAATGAAAAACTATACTGTCATAGATTTGGGTCAATAATGAATAACACCTTATTTATTGATTTGACAGATTTAACCCGAAATTGGACAGTCATCTAATCCGGATTGAATAATAAAATCAACAATTTGAAAAACTGAAATAAACTGTTAAAAACCGGATAAAAAATGATTAACGGTGATTAATATGGTTCGTTTGGAATTTTAGTTTTTTTCTCAAAATACGAGTCTCTTTAAAATCTGGGCTCTTAAAATTTGGGGCTACTAATTTTTTTAATTTTTGGACTTCTTTTTTTCATCTAAGCCTAAAGTCTTAATTTATTATCAAAATAATTAAATTACCCAACTTTAAAGCTAAATGTGAAAAATAAAATATTATATCTAACCACATTGAATTTTGCAGTTCAATAAACTTTTACCTTCGATAGTTCTTTGAGTAGTATAATTTTCAAAATACTGAAAATAGCACATAACATTGAAAAAAAAAAAAAAAATCATTTTAAGAAGTTATAGGACTGTCATAAGTTTTTTGTCCGTCAACTCTCTCACCTTTCACTTTAATCTCTCTCATTTATTTATATTTATATATATATTTTGTTTGAAAGCATCTCTGTTTTTTCTGCAAATATTTTTTTCTTTAATAAAGTATATTTCTCCTTGTAGAATATAAAATAAAAGAGTCAGTAGTGAAAAGTTTAAATTACGTATCATTTTATTTTAGTCCATTGACCACAGATAAAAAAAAAAACTTGATACATCGTTTTTATAATCTTTTCGTGATTAAAATTTCTAAAATTTGATATATAAGTATTTTTATTATAATACAAATTGGTGTTGAAGATATTTTAAAATTAAAATTTAAACATGTTAATATATGTTAGTGATAAGTTTACAAGGGAGGTAAAATTAGGGCAAATAATTGAAAGAAATGCGTGATAAAGATTATTCTTTTTTTATTTTTCATTCGTACTATATACAATAATTATTATGCACTCTGTACTGTTAGTAGTAGATTCAATAGTCTCAAAGCTCATTAAAAACAGTATAACCCATTATTAAGCTCATTAAAAAGCGTTACAGCCCATAAGGAGAAGAATACAAATTATACTTAAAAGTTTAAGTAGGTGAGAATTAAATTATTCGCCGCTTAATTTAATTTGAATCGTAAAGAAGGTAATGTGGAAGCCTTTATTATTTAGTTCCTTAGATTCTTTGAATTGAATCTTTTTTATTATACAGGCCTTTATTTTTTTCACTAATTCACTCCATCCCATTTAATTAGAAAGGATGGAAGAAAACTCCGAGGAAGAAGTTCTCTGCAATGTTGTGGATTTATTCTGAATCTTAATCCTTGATAGCATAAACTTGTAGGTTTTGATTCCTTGCACACTTCATATATATATATATATATATATTGGTAATTCATCTGCAAATTTCTCTTACATTAGGCATAATCTTGCGGCATAGGATGTTTTTTCACTGTTATCTTCTCTTTTTCTCTATCTAGGGGTGTGTTGTTGAGCTTGTGAATGAAATTCCTTTTTCTTTCTATAGGTTGATGTTTTAGAGGCGTAAAGAATATCTCCTTTTGTTGGCTGATGCAATTCCAAAAATTAGTCCTTATTGTGCCAGTAAACTTGAAATTTGGTTATGAATAAAAAATCACAGTATATTATGCTTTTGTGAAATCCAATAAAAAAGGAACTCATCTAATTTATACGTAGTTAATACTGTTTAACAATCCTTGTGAAACTTGGCTAGGCAATCCGACTGTTTGACAATTTTTTTTAATGGGTTTGCTATCATGACTATAATAACATTGCTGAGAATCCTTATTCCCGACTAAAAGATACTGACTTTTGATCTTTTGCTAAGTATTGAAGTAGTACAGACTTGGCTAGTTGCTCACCATTTTGACCAGAAGAATCACCTAATGAAATTTTTTGTGGTCTTGCCTTTTCTTTTGATTGAATCTGCAATTCTTCTAGCTGCTATTGAATCAGATGCAAGACTTTTGAGATGCTTTAGTAAGTCCCTTCATTCCATTCTCAGCACAAAGAAGTTGCAGCATAAACTGTGACAATTGCAGTAGCTTAAAGAGGTTAAGGCCATTTCCCCAAAAGGTGGAAATATCACATCCAGTTGAATTTGTATATTAGAATCTGAATGTGCAGAATCTATGTGGTCATTTATTATGTATAATTATTGTGATTTTGAATCATTTGGATGTCAGGCTTGCCGTATTTGCCAATACATCTTGATATTTTAGAGCTTTCTTTAAGGATTCGGAGTATGTTTAACTGTTGCTCCTCATGGTGGCAGGTGGCCTTCCTTGCATGCCTGTCTGAATATTTATTTTAAAATTAGGTAAAGTTCTTTTCTTCTGTGTTCTAACATTTATATGGACATGAGGAGATGCATTTTGTTGTGCAGTGCCCAGTCAAGTGAGACCCACATGTTTGTTATTGGTGTTTTCTTATTGGTGTGGCGGTGCCCACTCAGTGGGACTCACACACGTGATGAAAAAAAAAAATTAGGTGAAAG